CTGGGCTCCGCCCGCAGGAGAACAAACAGGTTTTCTCCTGCGGCTGGGAGCCTCGCCCCTCGCCCCTCCCCTCGGCCGGCCCCTTCCTCTGCCCTCTCCTGGGGTAGGTAGATGCGCCTGGCACATTCCGCACATTCTCCCGCCAGTGTCCTCCGCCGCCCGCCCCTTCCCGGCCCCGCCCCACGGGGCTGCTGGAGAAATCAAGGCCGGTCTCCCCGCCCCGAGCCGGAGCGAGCTCCAGCAGGCTGCGCCGGGTGGAAAACGTCCAGGCACATTCCTCCGGGCTCGTGGCCCCCGGCCGCAGCTCGGCCACGTGAAGGGCCCCGTCCGCCTCGTCGCGCCCGGCCCGCGCTCGGCCCCTGCGCGGGGCCAATGACTTCCACAGATGCGCCTGCTAATCTGCGGAGAACCGCAGTCCTAGATCCGTTTTACAGACGGAGCTCCCAGACGGGGCAGGAGGGGCTGGCGGCTGAGCTCATGCAGGAAGTCCCGAGGCTGGGAAGAGGGGGGAAAGTGAGGGAGCCCACTCCCGGCTGGCGCTGGGCAGCTCACCCTGGAAGGCCAACCTGGGGGGACGCGGGGTTCCCGGGGCACAGCGGCCAGAGCGGCTGCCAGCCCCCGGGCGCTTGGCTGTGCTGCTCACTCTTGCAGCCCTGTGCCGTTCGCTCACTTCCTGGGCTCCCTGGCCCCCTGTGGAGGCCCCAGACTGGGGCGCTGGTGGAGACAGCACTCAGCCACGCCTCTCAGTCCTCTCCCTGCGGGACCAGAGGAGGTCACTTGCTAGGCGGACAGCTAAGCCCGTCCAAGGTGGCCCATCAGGCCGACAGGGTCACAAGCCCAGCCAAGTCTGTCCCAAGTGGTCCGTCCATCCCCGTTCCTCCGAGGCCCTGGGCGCCACCGAACAGGCTCCTGTCTCCCCAGGAGGAAGCCGTCGGACCGGTCTGCGGTCTGCGGGCGCTTTCACACGCCCGCCTCGGCTTGCAGCTCCTCGCTGGTTCCCAGCTATGCTTTGAGGGGGCCAGGACGGGCTGCGGCCCCACTCTGCGGGACGCACCCCCTCCCCTCAGTCACCAGCTCCCAGCCACAGCGGCTCCAGCCTTCCCAAGCCCCTCTTTGGCACGTCGGCTCTGGATGCTGACTCTCCAGTGTCCTTTGCCCCTGTCTTTGGCTACTGAACTCAGCCACCCTTCAAGATGCCACTCAGGGCCGTGGCGCCTCCTGGCAGCACAGGCCACGGGGCCTGGGCTCTTCCTTTGTGTGCCCTCCCACTGCCCTGACTGCCAGCTTGCTGAGTGGCACCTGCGCTGTTCTAGCTGGCCAGCTGGGCAGGGCTGAGCCACCTTGCGGACGGACACTAGGGGAGTCAGAGGGGCCTTGCAGAGAGAGGGCCGCTGGCTTGGTGGACACTCTAGAAGCTGTTCTCATCCTTCCCTTCCTGGGCGTTGTCAGGAGAGACGCGCTGACCCATCGTCTGTGTGGCTGTGTGAGGTGGGGGCTGTCCGTAAAATCACGTCAGCCCATCTCCGCCTCTTGCCTATCAGCATTTTGCTGCTGCCAGTCTGGTGGCCAGTGGCGAACCTTCCATGCGCACACTCCCGCTGCTGGCAGCCATGAATTTGGCCCTGTGTCCTAGCTCCTAAACATGCTCACTGCATTCCCTAGAGTAAGTATCGCACCCCTTCCCTGTCCCCAGTACCCTCAGAGCCCCCCGAGCTTAAAGAGGTCGGAGGGAGAGGATGCCATGCAGGTCAGAGGGAGTGCGGAGGAAGATGGCTTTCTTCCCAAGATGGCTGCGGGCAAAGGCCTGCTCACTCCAGAGCACTAAGCACGGGAGGCCCGAGGGAGAGATGGGCAGGAATGGGGCCCAAAGCCACCAGAGCCAGTCAGCAAGTGCGGCCCTGGGCTGGGCGGCCCCAGGGCCTGAGCTCTTCCCAGGTCCCAGGTGATTCAGCCCTGCCCGGCCAGATCCGCCACAACAGCGCCAGCTGAATGCCCAGCCTTCCTCGACTCCTCCCTCCTGCCAGGCTGCCAGGCCCTGTAGCCGATCTCATCTACAAACGGGTTTGACTTGAATGGTCACTGCCCTGCCCTACCCTGCCCAGCCCTGCCCAGCCCTGCCCACCCGTTCACTGTCCTGACAGAACCCCCACCCCCCTGCCAGGCCACGCTCGCCACATTGGTCAGGCTGATTTCATCAGTCTCCTCTTTGACTCCTTGCCCTCAGGCACCCGGACCCAGCTGCACCGAGTATGCTCCACCCACCAGGCCGCTGCCCGAGGACCCCCTGTTGGCCTGGAGTGGCACTTCCTGCAAAAACACCAGCTGACACCCCAAACACTCTAGGCGCCAACATCGTCGCCTCCATCTGCTCCCCGTTGGACCTGAGCTTGGCCCCTCCTCTGAGGACCCTGCCTTGGCCTGTCTCTGCACAGCACGAGGCCCTGCTGGAGGGTGTCCACTGGAGGGTGGACTGTGGGGCCCAACGGGGCTGCCAGGATGGACAGGAGGCCGGCCCGGAAGTCAGAGCACGAGCAGGCCATGGAGACCTGGGAGGCTGTGCTGAAGCAAGGGGGTGGGCAGGCCCCTCCAAAGTCCCAAAGGAGCCCCACCCTCCTCTCTGGACTGGGGGCAGAACATGAGCGGGTCTAGCTGATGCGCTCCCAGGCTCGGGAGGGTGCTGATGGGTTGGGCCTCGAGAGTCCTCAGGTCCCAAATCTGACACGGGCAGAATGTGCCCTCACCAGGGGGACTGGATGCCAGCCAGTGACTCGAACTGTGTCGTTCAAATGGGGAGACAGAGGCCAAGAGCAGGACCACACCCAGCGGGGAAGGGTGGGGCTCCTGTTTGCACCCTAATCCCCTCCTCCCCACACCCTATCCTAAGCTCTTCAACCAGTTTCCACTTGCTGGTGACTCCACTGGCTCTGAGCAGGGAGCAGGGCGCATCCCCTGGGGGCTGGGGGCTGCAGGCGGGTGGGCACCCTCACTGGGCGCAGACTCTCTGAGGTTGCTGGGAGCTGGCTCTGCCTAGCAGGGCTGAGACCCGCCTGCATGACACCCTCAGCCTGCACTCGGCTGAGGGGCTGGTCTCTCCACCCGGCGTTGGGCTGATGTCACCAGATGCCCATCTGGGCCTCCCCTGTGGCACTGCCACCCCGCAGGCCTGGCTCGGGGCAGCCCCCAGTCTGGGCGGGGCACCGTGCTGCTTAGCTCCGTGGGGCAGTTTGTGCTGGGGCTTCCTGCCCCGTGGACAGTGGCAGCGCCGCGGCAGGAGGCCCTGCAGGCTGGCATCGACGTCTCCCGCCCTGCGGCCTTTTGGTTCCACTGCTCTGAGTCAGCCCGGAACACCTCACCGTCAGCCTTGGCCTGTGTGACCTGACGCCCCAGAATGCAGACTGTCTTTTGTGTCTGCCTCTGAAGCAGCCCTGGGCCAGACCTCCAGAGCACGAGGGCACTAGCCGAGCCAAGGCCTTGCTGGCAGATAATCCCCACATGCCCTGAAGAATGGCTTTTTGCTGCTTTAGGAATCATCCACAGATCGGAAAAAGAATGTTCTAATTGGAAAACCTCCCCGCCATGGTTTTCCGGAGTTTTAGTACAGTTGGCCGGCAAGAAGCCTCCTGGGAAGAGGGGAGGGAAGTCATGAGGAGAAGAAGTGGGCTCCCTGCCCAGCACCCCTCGTCCCCCAGCTCCGCTCCCACTGGGGGCAGGGCCTGCTGAGGGCCGGGGCCTGTCAGCAGCCTGGGCACTCCGGAGCCCCTCCTGCTGTGGGGCCCAGGCTTGGGGACCCTCTGGCAGGGTCTTGTGAGCAAGTGGGGATGCCAGCGTCAATGTTGGGGTCTGTGTGGGGTCCGCAGACCTAACTGGGGCTGTGGCTGCGAGACCTGGCAGGAGGCGCAGGCTGCGAGGGAAAGCCGACTTCTGGGCAGCTTCCTGGGATCTGTGGGAGAGGAGCGAGGCAGCCTCACACCACTCGGGGCAGCCGAGCCTGCTTTGCCTCACCACTGGCCTGTCCAGCTGTGGAAGCTGCGGGCTGGTTCCTTTCAGTTAAGCGGCGCCCTTGTGCTTGGGAATGGCCCCTCGGGAACAGGAGAGGCCGTGGGGCCTTCACTCCGCCTGGCTGTGCAAGGGCTGTGCCGCTCAAAGCCTGTCTTGTCACAGCAATTTTCATCTTTTTAAGGGGAGCAGCCTTTGCAGGGGCCAGGGTGTTCAGAAGCTGCCTCCTCCTCCACCCGAGCGCAGACTCCAGTCTTCTCAACACCCACGAGGAAGGTGCGGCTGGGCCCAGGTGGACCTGGACGGGGCTTGGCCACAGCACCTTCTCCTTTGGCTGCAAACCTGGCCAGGCGGCCCCGGGCTCTCTGGGGTCCTGCCATCACCTCGCCCTTTCGGCACCGCTGCTCCCGTCCGGAGCCAGCACCTATCCCTGGAGCTCACTGGGCCCTTCATGTCGCCATTGGCAGTTACATTCCTCACTATCCAGGGCCTCCCGGTGATGCAACAGGGTAAATCGCAGCACTGTGAGGCTGTCCACAGCCCCTGCAGTTCAATCCTGGCCAAGGGGTGACCCACAGAGTGCAGCAGACCTCTCCTGTCTCCCCACTGTCCCCTCAGCAGTGTACTTTGTCAGTCTGCCCATTCTGCTCCCCACTCTGTCTCTGGGGAGTCCTCTCACCCGCCCCCCGCAGCTCTGGCCTGCACCCCAGTTCTTGTATGAATAAATAAATCAATCTTAAAGTAAATAAATAAGCAGATTCTCCACTATTCAGTAAGATTGAAAGCTCAGCTCCTCAGAATCAGGTCAGCCACCTTCA